CCTAAAATGTTGACACCGTTGGGCATAGCTTGTGTTTCAAGAAAGAGTTTGCAGGACTGACATATTTGAAGAATTTGAAAATTTTTGGAAACTCAAAGTACATTTATGGGAACAGTTTTGAGAACGTTAAAAACATATCAAGTTTATTTTTGCGAGGTAGGCAAATGTCAAATCTTAGTGATGCAGCTTTAGAGCCACTAAAAACTCTCGATGCTCTCTATTTTTCTGGTGTGGATTTCGGCGTTGAGAAATCTTGACTGGCTTTAAAAACTTTCCGAGGCAGAAACATGACGGTTATATACTTTGAATCTGTTCATTTGTTTGAACATGATAGTTATCCAGGATTCATTAAAAATGATGGAGTTTTAACATTCTCTAAGACGCAATATCTAAGAGAAATATGTGTGCGGGAATTCACTTTGAGTGGCTGTGACATCTATGTTATCAAAGAAAATGCTCTCAGCAGTAAAGTTTGGGAAAGATGTCTTGTCAAATTGGATTTATCTTTTAACCCATTTCTTGGCACAAGAATGGCATTTATTCGATTACTTAATTTTAAAAATATCGAAATCGTTATTATGGATGGGACGATGGAACGTTGTTTTTCCAAGAGTGGTGTAGATGATTCGGATGATAATGAGTTTACCAACGCTGTTGCTACAACATCCATACAACTGTTTTCTGCCGAAGAAACCTGATATTAATTACCATAGTGCAGCTGTGTACAACACAAACATGGATAAACAACATAGTTTCAGCAACTACAAATCTTTAGTGCTGATCAAAGATAAGAAACAGAGAGTTGACACATGTACATCCTCCTTTTCACCTAAACAATTTGTTTGGATAACTGTTTCCAACTCCTTACAACGTCTTCAGCTCACTGCATCTGTTTCTAAGAATAGCGTCGATATGAATGTCAAATTTATTGGAGCCCAAAATTTGACCTTATGTGGATATAGGTCAGGGGAGACTATTCCAGTTTACAGGAAATATCACCGGTCTTAACGCGCTACAGACATTTATTTTGTCAGGAAACGATTTATCAAGTTTGTCCGAGGCATTTTTTGACAGTTTGTGTCACATGGAAGTACTGCTTTTATCAGGTTCTTCTCTTGATGTTGACTTCATTGCTAGAAACAGTAATAGACTACTGATGAACCTGTGGAAGCTCAAACGATTTGATATCTGATTGAATTTGCTGAGCTCTTAAGCTACCGATTCTTTTACCGCCAACAGAGAGTTAGAAGTGCTAAATCTAGTTAAGAATAGGTTCAGAACCATCCCTTTCAGCCTGCAGAATACCCCAAATCTTAAAGTTTTAGACATTCGTAAGAACTCCTTGTCAACCATTGAACTCGGAGACCGAGAACTTTTAGACATTTTAGCTAAACAACCTGGGGGATTTAAGTTGCTTCTTTCTGGAAACGAAATCTCGTGTGACTGTGACAATTTCCTATTTCTTCATTGGCTAACAACTACCCACGTTCAACTGGATGATATAACTATAACATGTTTTGATGATAACAACAACACGACCAACTTCCGTCAATTTGTAAATGTAGACATATTTTTTCGAAAATGTCTGGGTGGGTTTTTTCTAACTGTCGCCATTAAGTCTTTTCCTTCTCATAGTCATCGGATTTCTTGTTTTCTTCTTTGTACTTAAACATAAACTTTTTATCATATCTGCAATATTAAAAGTCTTCACTGGATATAAGCTCAAAGCCCAGTCGGATTACAGAATTGGCGTTTTTATTGGCTATTCTGAACATGACTACGCCTTTCCGTGTTTTGATCTAAGAACTTTCATTGAGGACGAGTTGGGATTAAACACGTATTTATATCATCGAGACATAAACGGGCCGGACATGGCCAAGAGTATTGTAGACGCCATTAACGCCAGCTGGAGAATTATTCTGGTGGTCAACAGCAGCTTCCTCTTTCAGGACGAGTGGTCACCATTTACCTATACATCGGCCATCTATTCCCAAACATGGGAGAATCCTTCACGGATTGTCGTGTTGGTAGACACGAGTCTACAGCACCATCTACCTGCAGAGATTCTCAGTGCGGTCAATGATGACAACATCATCGTTGTACCAGACTGGGAACTTACACACACCTTACGACAGAATTTGAGAAGTCGTTTTAATGCAGCAATAATTTATTTATTTTTTTAAAAAGTTCATTGCATTTCGTTTTGACACAGATTGCAGCATTAATTTAGTCACATAGAAATGTGGTTTCTGAGAATAATACAGAGAACGACACGGAAGGATAGAAATACAAAAGACTCAATCCTCGGCGAGACAGATGAAAGTCGCAAACTTATTAGAATTGACAGTCTGTATTTTTTTGGGACAATATTATGAGAAGAAAAAATCATCATCATCATGACCCCCGCCAACTGGCGTAGGTACTCATGTGTCTCCACATATCACGATTCCTGGTTGTCTGGAACAGCTCTCTTGACGATATTCCTCCATGTCATCATTTCAACCCATCCAGCATCGTCTCTCTTGGTCTGCCTCCACCCTTTTTTTTCACTGATCTTTCCGGTTGTCACGATGTTTTTTCTAGTGTCTCTCTTCTCATTGCGTGGTCAAAAAACAGTGTTTGTCTCTTTCTTGTTGTTGTATATCGAGATCTGCTTTCGTTGTCTTCTTTCAAGCAACCGTTGTTAGTTACTCTGGCCGTCCAATGTATTCGTAATATTTGTCTAGAAACCACATCTCTGTTAAGAAGAAATGGACGTGATAATTCTTTAACAACTGGCAAGACTGATGGAAAGAGAGCAAGAGGAATGCAAACAGATAAATACCTGGATGGCTTAGTCAGATTGATGGGGCGGGACGAAAACGTTAAATTGATCCGTGATTCTTGTGATCATGTGACACAGCAAAACTTGACAGCCTCCGCTTGCAAAACGTGACAGGCCTACGCTAACAAAAAATGACAGCCTACGCTAACAAAACATGACAGCCGCACCTAACAAAACATGACAGCCGCAGCTAACAAAACATGACAGCCGCCGCTAACAAAACATGACAGCCTACGCTAACAAAATATGACAGCTTACGCTTACGACCATCTTCTCTCAGGTTCTAAAATATGATATTTATGAATAAATTTAATGTGAAATTAAATGCAGTATTCATGACAGCTCTTATACCATGATATTTATATCTTTTGCTTCTTAATTATTGGATCCATCTTCCCGCCTTTAGGCCTATTCGGCATGTAGTGTTAGACATAAATTTAGTAGACCAAACTGCGCTTTGTGGTTGATGTGGTTAGCCTCACGCCTGCCGCCTTTGTTTCCCAGGAATTTACCTGGTACCCGCTCATGCCTGGGTCGACCTGGGAGCCAAAGTCGTTTCTAAAACCCAAAAAAAAAGATCCTGCTCCGCCAGGACCCTCATCCACGAGCTTCCCAACCGCAGGCGACATTCTAGCCGCTGAACCACTGTGGCTCCCAATTGTAGGATAAATAATTCAAAATGCCTTGTATGTAAACTGTAATGCAATTGAAAAAAATCCTGGCATATGCATACTATGCAGCAGGTCCTTTGCAGAACGTCGCTCTCATCAATGCACGACCAAAAAGCATTCTATTCACGATGTATCTGTGTGTATGCGCATGCATTTGTGTGTATATAAAAATGTGAGTGTGGTGTGTACATAGAAATGTATGATCCTTCCACCTGCATCATTGTCTACCTCTTGGGTTCGACTTTTCCATCCAGTATGGTTTTAAAAAAAATTATTATGTCTTTTAATGTGCCGAGACATTTCATTTGTCTCGTCTTTATTTCTTTCAACAACTTTCTCTTCATTCGCAACCTTTCCAGCACCGCTGTATTTGATGTTTCTCTGTTTTTATTTCCATAAAATACGACATATTATCATCAATATATGATGGAGCGCCAGGAATATCGGATGGAGGCATATTATTAACAACCAGCGTTATGCTGACTCTATAGTTTTGATCGCTGAAAATGAAACACAACTGCAAGAAATTAATGATATAACTGTAACGGAAAGTGGAAACAAGGAACTTTGTTTGAACAGCAGAAAAACAGAAATAATTTGTAATTACAAAGAAAACTGACCCTCCAAAATGCAACATCAAAGTAAATGGACAAACCTCAAGCAAGTTGATATGTTTAAGTATAAGTAAATTGTTAACCTGATAACATCAGATGAAAGATATATAATTGAAGTAAATTTCAAAAAGCTCGAGAAAAGACAGCATTTTACAAAATACAGAATATTTTATGCAATTGTTCCATGCCAATTGAGACGAGAAAGAGAATTCTTAAAAGTTATATAAATCCTATATTGATATATGTGTGTAAATCTTAGACAGTTAGTAAATGAGTGAAAACTTTTTTGGAATCTGCTGAGATGTGGTTTTATAGACGAATGGTGAGAATACCCTGGACAGATTAGAGATGTCTTGAAAGAAACTGACTCACAAAGAGAACTGATTGCCCACATCAGAAAGAGACAATCTACATTTTTTGGTTATGTGATGAGAAGGAGAGAACTGGAGTACATCAGAACAGTAGGAAATTTTAAGAGGAGGGGAGGCAGAGGAAGACCGAGAAAAAAGATTCTGGACAGTTTGACACTACGGCATGGAAGATCATCTGTGTCGGAGTTGATTAAAAGTACACGAGACAGAAGGTTGTGAATAGAAATGACTACCAACGCTCCAACGCATGGAATGAGATACAATAGAGCACAAAGATGATTTCTGTTAACTAAAATACACACATCGCAGTATTTTCTCTGCATACATTGTTGATATCACAGCCTGAGTATTTTCTAGTTCATTATACCTTAATGAAACTCAGCAGTAAAAAACGTAGTGATATGTAGTGAAACATTGTTTATTGATTCATTCATTATCCTGTTGTGCTAGCATATGTCACATAGGGTTTGCAACCTATTTCTCTATTCCGTTCTATGCTGTGCAATTCCCTCAATATCATGGATGGAATCTAGACCAGCACCTTTGGCTTCTCTTATCGCCGTTCGTTTTAGGGTTTTCTTAATTTTTTTACGTCATCATTTATTTTTTCCTTTATTTCCCATTTCAGTGCCTCTTTGGTGATTCTCTGCTGGTTTCTTCTCAGGATGTGTCCACCACAGCGCCATCTTCCCGGTCATATAAATGTGGATACTATTGGTTACCCTGGCATTTCTCTTGTTTATTTACTACTCGAGAATTCATCTCATTTTGTGACCAAAAGGTGTCTGCGAAATATATCAGACAGTAAACTGTCCAGTGTATTATTTGTTCGCATAGTTTACATTAACTACGGGAGAATATTGATTTGATTATTAACAATTGCAAGTTCGGATATGTGTACAATTTTCAAAGGTTAAAAGGTCAAAATTAGGAGGATCGACTTTATTGCACTGGGTTTTATTCCATTTGGCGCGGTCTCCCTCCACAGAACGGCTAGCCGCCTGACGACAGCATCGCACAGAGCACGAACTCCGTAGCTCCGCGACGATCCCCAGGGAGTTCCGTAAAAAATACACTCGTGAACCGAACAGCGTAGCCGTGAAACGAACGCAACACCTTCAGAGGGGGATGGCAAACAGCTTGACCACTTCGCTACGGAGCTGTCTGTGCGATTGTCAATTTACACAAAGGCACACACTTACACCATGTGTGTTTGTGTGTATATATATATATATGTGTGTGTGTGTGTGTGCTTCTGTGTGTGTGTTTGTATGTGTGTTTGCGCACGCGCGCGTGTGTGTGTGTATTTCTGTGTATGCAATAGGCAGTTTAAATGCTTGTACAATTATCAGTTCATATTTATTCAACAATACGGCAGATTGTAGAATGTTTACCGTCATTGATACTTTAGATGAGTTTAAATTGTTGGACGTACCATGTCAACGAAACCCTTCACCGCTTCGTCTTATAACATGTATTGAATCGGGTTTCACTGCAAAGGTAAGTTAGCATTGCTGGTGGGAAATCAAAGAAGAAAGCCTACGGAATACCTTCACTGTATCCTTCCTGTTCGAGAATGGAAGGGGTGCACGTAAGGTCAACTGTCTTTGACTTCCAAGTAGTAAAGCCTGACATACAGGTGACATCATAATATAGACAGAGTGAGATGTCAAAAGAGTGGGTGGGGTTTTATTGCAAAGGTATACAGGTGAAATCATAATATATACAGTTCTGTTTGTGGTGAAATGTCAAAAGAGTGGGTGGGGTTTCAGTACACAGGTGAATTTACACTGTTGGACAACAGAGAGCCTAGCGTACAAAGTCGCTACGTGCAGTATGAGAATGGAGGTGGAGGCAGTAACGACAGCTTTCCGATGGCCTGAGAACAGCATAGCTCAACATAGTGTGAAAGTAACAAACTTACAGAGCTGCTTCGAATGCTTTAAATAAAAACTATAAAAATGTGATCAAAATTACAGATACTTTGCACTGTCTTGTAGCCTGTCAATAATGTTGTTAGGGGTGTCCAGAGTGTTAAGCGCGTGACATGACGGTACAGACGAACACGATAACGTCGTAATGACAGTTTAAAGATGACCGTCCCGCATCTGACATGTGCCAAAGAGGAGCAGCTACTGTTACAAGAAAAGCAGATGTTTCCCAGCGCCGTGACTTCTGTAATAGACTGGTCACGATTAGGATTGTCACGACGAGGACAATCTGTCTCAATAGTCACGCTGTTTTGAAACTTCCTGGTTAGTTGCCTATCCTTTACAGGACGTTGCAGAACCAACCTCAATAGCCCCTGGCTGTTGTGTGGGTTTTCTAGGCAAATTTACGTTCAGTAGTTTGCCATTGCTTTTATGGACGGTTGGCTTTCTTGATACAACAGTCGAAACCAAAGCAAGGTGCATGACCCGCAGTTGGAATCGAACTCGGTATCCCAGCATAACGAAGCGTTCGCATCGACTTAGCCACAGAGCCGACTTAAAACTTCCTACTCCACTCATAAACTCGCTGAACGGACAAGCAAAGTGTTGTCACGACGAAAGCGCTCTAAACAGATTAAACAAATTAATTAAGATGTCTTGAAAGAAAGTGATCCCGAAGAGAACTTATTGCCCACATCAGATGGAGTAAATTCACATTGTTTAATCATAAATTTGGAGTACATCATGGCGGTGGGAACGCTGGAATGGAAAAAAAGGCAGAGTGGACAGAAATAGAGGATTCTGGACAGTTTGGCAATATGGTATGGTAGATCATCGGCACCAGAAGGTTGTGGATAGACTTGACTGCCAATGTCACACGACATAGACTAAATCAATCAAGCAATCAGCACGTCCTTCATGGCTCACCTGAAAGTCTCTATATGCTTTCATAGACAACACATTTTAATGTCCTGTATCCACATCCGCGGTGGTCGGCCTCTATCTCGCTTTCAGCACACTTCACCATCCATCCCCTTTTTGTCCAGAGGACCATGGCGCTTGATATGCCAACAGTTTGCTGTTTGCGAGCCAGTTCTCCTTGATGTTCAGTTCTTAAAGAATCTCGACGTTTTCTCTTCTTCTTGGTCAACGGTATTCCAAGAAGCTTTCTGTAGCATGTGAGTTCAAAATCTTCGATTTTATTCTTCAAAGACAAAGTATCTGACTCACATCCATTAAGTCGGCATGGACTGTAAGGAAAGGAACTAATGGTCATGTTCACGGTGTGTGTGGTCTCTATTGTTGAGTTTTCTTCCACAAGGTTCCAACAACAGAAGACATGCGCTGATGTATAGGGCAAATCCAACGTAATGGAATGGTACTGCAAAACTTGAGGTCTTTTCCAGAAGGTAACCTAATAGAATAAAATATAATTGGTATTTAATAGGTCACTGGCATATTGAGAGCTTATAGACTAAAATGGCTTGGTAATAGTGAGAGAATGTCGGATGCCAAAGAGGTTAAAAACTGTACACAAGAGAGTTTAATAGTCGTAGACCACGAGGCAGATCAAGAAGACGATGGAGCGATCACATCTAGGAATAACTACGAACACTTGTTGTTACGAACTGGAAAGAGAAGGCCAGCCAGAGAGATGGTTTTTAAAAAAGAAACTGTTAGACCCACTCCTCGAGAGTTCCTCGCGCCTCCTAGCCCACCCCCACGCCCCCACCCCCACCTCCGCTCGCTGGAGCCCAGGCGTTTCTTCTTCCTTAAGTCTGTTTCGCGTATTTTCAATAATTTCTGACACAGATGATCTTCCATGCCATGATGTCAAACCATCCAGCATCTGTTCTCTCGGTCTCCCTCTGCCTCTCCACCCCCCTCCAACTTTCCTACCGTCACGATGTACTCCAGTTTTCTCCTTCTAATCACATGACCACAGAATGTAGATTGTCTCTTTCTAAAGTGGGCATCTAAAGTGAGTCATAGCACAATACAAAATTATCGTCTGGAAACACGTTGCCTACCAAAATAACAACATGATCTGCACACACAAGAGCTTGAACACAGAATTTATTTGCATGGCTTTATGATGGGAGAGGACTGCCTGGTTTCCTTGCAAATGTAGGGAAGGGAAGTTGCTTTGGCACTTTCCCCAGCCCCCCCCCCCCCCATCTAATTGTTCTGGAATGAGGGAGCTCGATGTAACTGCGATCCAGATCAGCTGATGTGTCCCATTATTTCAATTCAATCCGGCACCCGAAAATGCTGAGCATGTACTCTAAAACTGTAGACTCCGTGCTGCTAACATAGAGGCCATCTGGTCTTTTTTAACCTCAATCAAAACCAAACTGTATGGCACACGGTGAGATGCGGCCTGCACTAAAGCCTTTACCAAAGCTCTTCATTATCATGTAGCAGGTCCTTTGTAGAATATTGCTCTAATCACAGTCTGCCTGACACACACAAAAAACTCGGTCTCTCGCCAGCTCTTCTGATCTCCTGCCTCGTGTACTTTCATATTCAAGGAGTCATATCCTGTGCACATCGTCGTGTTGGTCGGGCCCTGTTACCATGCTTTACGCTATTACTTTTTTTCTAATCCGCAGGGCGCTAAATATAGCTAAAATATCTGGAGGCAAATGGCATATGGATCGAAGAAGAAAAAGAAAATAAATTATACCAGTAAAAGAATGTCTTTGAAATTGTATATGTATCAATGAAACATACACATCTAAGAATGGGTGATGAAATGACAGCGGTCATGCCAGTTAAAATATGTCTCAGCAATCGTTAAGTGTGAAAAGACATAGACATTTAAGAATAGACGATGTAATGAAAACGTTCATACTAATTAAAGAATGTGTCTGCAGTCGTTTATGAATAAAAACACACCTACCTAAAAATGAATGATGTAATGACAACGTTCATACTAATTAAAGAATGTGTCTGCAGTCGTTTATGAATAAAAACACACCCACACAAGAATGAATGATGTAATGACAATGTTCATACTAGTTAAAGAATGTCTCTGCAATCGTTTATCAATAAAAACACACCTAACTAAAAATGGATGATGTAAGGACAACGTTCATACTAATTAAAGAATGTCTCTGCAATCGTTTATCAATAAAAACACACCTACCTAAGAATGGATGATGTAAGGACAACGGTCATACTAGTTAAAGATTTTCTCTGCAATCGTTTATCAATAAAAACACACCTACCTAAGAATGGATGATGTAAGGACAACGGTCATACTAGTTAAAGAATGTCTCTGCAATCGTTTATCAATAAAAACACACCTACCTAAGAATGGATGATGTAAGGACAACGGTCATACTAGTTGAAGAATGTCTCTGCAATCGTTTATCAATAAAAACACACCTACCTAAGAATGGATGATGTAAGGACAACGGTCACACTAGTAAAAGAATGTCGATGCAATCGTTTATCAATAAAAACACACCTACCTAAGAATGGATGATGTAAGGACAACGGTCATACTAGTTAAAGAATGTCTCTGCAATCGTTTATCAATAAAAACACACCTACCTAAGAATGGATGATGTAAGGACAACGGTCATACTAGTTAAAGAATGTCTATGCAATTGTTTATCGTTAAAAGACACCTACCTAAGAATGGATGATGTAGGGACAACGACAACGTAGCTATCATGGCATTGAACCCCAGCGCTTTGCTGAGGTTGTCCACGCCAACAAAGTCCATGGCCACAACCGGCATCAGGGACATCCGGGCGCCGCCAAACATGCCATGGGTGACGCTCAGCAGCAGCAGTGTCGGGAAGGAGGTGAGGAAGTGAGTCAGGTGACACAGGGTTCCTACAATCAACTGTCATTCGTCAAGGTATATATTAGTAGGCGATAGAAATGCATGCTCTTATACTTGGTGTCCACGTAGTCAGTGTTGTTGTTATTGTTGCTGTTGTTGTTTTTGTTACTGTTGTAGTTATTGTTATTTAATTGCTGTTGTTATTGTTTTTCTTCTTCTACTCCTTCTCCTTTTTCTTCTTCTTTTTCTTATTTTTCTTCTTATTTTTCTTCTTCTTCTTCTTTTTTTTTCTTCTTCTTCTTCTTCTTCTTCTTCTTCTTCTTCTTCTTCTTCTTCTTCTGTCTGTCTGTCTGTCTGTCTGTCTGTCTGTCTGTCTGTCTGTCTGTCTGTCTGTCTGTCTGTCTGTCTGTCTGTCTGTCTGTCTGTCTGTCTGTCTGTCTGTCTGTCTGTCTGTCTGTCTGTCTGTCTGTCTGTCTGTCTGTCTGTCTGTCTGTCTGTCTGTCTGTCTGTCTGTCTGCCTGCCTGTCTGTCTGTCTGTCTGTCTGTCTGTCTGTCTGTTGTCTTTGTTTTTATCGTGTCTATTGTAATATGCATGTAAAGCAGATACATTTCAGGAACTGTGTGCCAGATTCCATTTCTAGGTAAAACAGAGACTTCCAAAAATAACTATTAGAAAATATACAATAAAACACGAGAAATATATTTCACTGATTCAGATCTTGCAGAGTCTCAACCATTGTAGCCACTCTCACGGTATTCAATGCATGATAGGTCTACACCACGCCGACCCCCTTCACTTTCCAAATGATTTCGCGACATGTTAAGGGGTTTTAAAAATAAAAGTTTGCCTTGGTGGGGACTGAGACCTGTGTGCACCGACTAGGCAGACAGTGTGACAATGAATCGGAATTGACAATTCACTGTAAAATATTTATGTATCTGATAATTATGACAAATATTCATTAGTCAGTGCCTGCTCTGAAAAGAGGAAATTAAACTGTGTGCTAGAATGACTAATGCTGAGATTAAGGGGGGGGGGGGGGTGAACTAAACATATTTAATTGAATCCAGAAGTGAGGAAAAATTAAGTGAAGAAAAACCGACAGCGTTGGATAGGTCATACGCTTAGAAAACCAGACGGCAATACAGCTAGAATGTCTGTTCACTCCAACCCACAAGGGTAGAGAAAAACAAAAAGGAAGACACTAAAAAAAATGAAAAGGAGATCTACAGAGTGAAGTCAAAAAGACGGTGAGGATATAGGGATAAGCTGCATGCAGTACCGAACGATAGGACGACTTGGGTGAGTTGGTTGAGGGCTCTTTGCTTCAGTGGGGGAGAGTAAGGGGTAGAAGAGTTAGTACGATGTCGCAAACCACCTTCTGCATTTGTCACATGTGATTTTATATGGCGATTACATGACCATTTGTTAGTCTTCTTAGCAGTGGATTGTCAAACATGTCGAAAATCAACGCAAACTAGTCTGATGCAAAAAAACTTGCAGTTTATTTCGAATTCTGGTATGCTGGAATTATGAAATGACGTTTATAAGCGGCACACCACAGTGGCCAACACAAGTAAAACAACTAAAGGAAAAACCTAGTTAACATGCGCTTAAGACAAACATTTGGTTAACACGAAAGCAATTGTGGTCCTGATAAGGATGTACGTCTATTATTTCAGTGTATCAGTCCCCTTTAACATGAATGTTTTTAAAACGAACTCTTGATTGTTCTGTCCCATGGAATTTTTGTTAACGAGATTTTACTCTATAACAAAAGAAGACAACAACCAGCAGATGTAAGACAAGCTGGTGAAAAAACAATCATACCTGGCAGATGGCGACAAATCTAGCAGCCGTGATCACCTTGGAATCGATTACGAATCCCTGAAGCAGTGTACTGACTAGATTCACGCCTACAGCAAAAGAGGTAAATTAGGAAAAGATCACTTCCAGGCCATGATGTCAAACTGTCCAACATCTTCTCTCTCGGTCTCCTTCTGCCTCTCTTCCACGCCAACTTTCCCACGGTCATGATGTACTACAATTATCTCCTTTTTATACATGACCAAAGAATTTAGATTGTCTCTTTCTAACGTGGGCAGTCAGTTCTCCTCGTTAGTCAGTTTCTTTCAAGACGTCAAGAAGAAGAAGAAGAAGAAGAAGAAGAAGGAGCAGGAAAAGGACAATATATAAAGCACTGATCTCAATGATAATATTAAGGATGAGGAGAAAGGAGACAAAATTAGTAACCAAATCTGCATCTAAGACAAACTAGGTCGATTAGTCAGAAAACTTACCCAACTAAGACATGAAATACTAACAGACATTCAAATATACTTACCATTTACATAGTGTTCTTCTTCTTCTTCTTCTTCTTCTTCTTCTTCTTCTTCTTCTTCTTCTTCTTCTTCTTCTTCTTCTTCTTCTTCTTCTTCTTCTTCTTCTTTGTCTTCTTCTTCTTCTTCTTCTTTGTCTTCTTCTTCTTTTTTCTTCTTCTTCTTCTTCTTCTTCTTCTTCTTCTTCTTCTTCTTCTTCTTCTTCTTCTTCTTCTTCTTCAACGTTCCGAGCCCTTGAGGTTCATTGCTGCAGATATCACTAGCCTCCACTCAAGTATCTTGTTGGTATAGACATAATGACAACACACACACACACACACACAAATACCTACAAATAAACAATGAGATAAAACTCGTGATTATTTCAAGCTGAAATTATAGATAATGTGAAAAGTACAAGATAACACTAGCGAGATAAACTTACCTCCACAAACAGTAAGCAGAATAGCTGCTTCTGTTTTATCCAATCCTTTCTGTACAGCTAAGGTTGGAATGTAAGTGGGAATGTACTGTAGCAGGGCGCCTAGCAACGTTGATGCCAGCAAAAGTCTCATCAACCAGTCGTTGAGCAAGTTCAAGTCGAAGAGATTTCCGAGAATCACACAAGGATGATATCTTTGATTTTTTTCAGGAGGATGTGATTTCATCTGGTTTTGAATTTTATTTATTTTTGTGTCTAGTGGGGGTGTTTGTTGCAAATTTGTGTTTTGAAGTTGCCTTAATACAAGACAGTTGCTACCATGTGTATAACTGTCTGATGGCAAAGACAGCTGTTCTGTCTGTGAATTAACATTGATATATACGGCAGAGTTGTTTGCAGTTTGTTTAGATACAGTCAAATCTTTAAACACAACATTCTCTACAGTTCTTACAAGTGGTTCATCTGGAGAATTCACTGAATCTGGCTGGCTTTCATCTTTATATTGTGAGTCTGAAGTTTTGATTCCTTGTTGATTCAACTGTTTGCCATTTAATCCCTTCAAGCCACAAGTACATAGCCTTTCATTCAAATCATCATCATTAGTTTCAAACCCAACCTCGGCGTTTCTTGATTCTAACAGGGAGTACCTTTCCTTGTCGTCTATATTTATTTGAAAATTGCATTGACCTAAAGAAGTTTGTCCGTTTTTCTGTATGTACCGACTAGGAGGTCGTAGCAACATGCATACAGCTACAGCCTGCATCTCAACTCCTGATATTATCAGCAGAGTCCCGAGAAATCCCAGATGGTCCAGTAGTTCCCTGACGAAGAGCGGGGTGACCAACAGAGACACGCTGATGCCTGCGTTGGTGATAGATGTGGCCACTGACCGACAGCGCTTGAAGTAGTGACCAAGAAGTCCAAGTGATGGGATCCACAGTGAGCCGATGCTAAAACCTAGGAAATAAAAGGCAATAACAGATTAAGTCCGCAACAGAAGTTCTGCACACGCAATGAAAGTTATAGTCCGTAACAGAAGTCTTGCACAACTTTAAAAATATGTTACTCAGTGACCGTTCGATGTAAGCTGGTGAAATCTGGAATTTAATCTTTTAATAATCATGTCCTTGTAAGCATTTATCATTAATATAAACGAACCTCCAGTTTTCCTTTTGCCGTGTCTGCGGAATATAACCAGACAAAAAGGGTGCTTTCCAAAAATCTCCCCCCTCCCTCCTCCCCCCCCCCCCCCACATGATGACGTCACGGGACAGTCCGATATTTTCGAGGGTGGTAAGAGCAGGTTTCCCGGCTTTCTGATGCTTTTAAATGCCCCAAAATATCTAGAACCCCAACTCTCCTACATTCCCGGCTGCATGCAGCCTAGGTCCCACGATTGTATGCAGTCTATCTACCACCCCCTAAAATATTCGACTGTTTGTTTGGGGAGAGATATTTGGAAAGAACTATACACATACAAAAAAAAAAAGAAACATACATTGATTCAAAGCAAACATTCAGCGTGATTACAGTAACTTGAGTAAATTAAGTACATGTGTCAATTACAGTATGTTTATTGGTTATGAGTATTTGGGCACTTGCTTGGTAGAGGAAAACAGCTGTTCGTGGTGTGAAGAGGAAATGTTTTTTTTTTAGGTTTAGACGACGGATCAACACCAGGGCACAACGCCTAACCCATAAGTGCTACATTTTACTTCTGACACAAGCCTAATTCTGAAGGGTCTCAGCGCAGTGCACAAACTCCGTAGCACCGTCGAAGATCATGAAAATACTTTGGGTAGGTTTTTAACTTCCAACTTTGCCCGGTCAGCGCCGTTTGGCTACTTTTTTTCGATTTTCAACTGCCAAGTAATTTTTTTTTTACGTGCGGAACAATACACACGGGCGTCCGATCTTACCACACAGAGACCGGGGGAAATTACTAGAATTCCACGGGAAAAGATCCTAGCCTCCACAGGGACCTGAACCCGGGAGCTCCAGCCCTCGAGGCGAACGCCATGCCTCGAGACTACGCGATCCCTGTGAACAGGAAAGCTGGAGGAGAACAGACAGACTTCGTCGCCGGTAGGGTCAGTATTTGGCCATTCTTTGATCGCATCAACACTGCAGGAGTCTCTTTCAGGGCTCTTAGTGGCGCAATGCTTAGCCATTTTGTATGGCGCACATAACCTGGTCACAATTATAACCTACAGCTCCCACCTCGAAGATAATGGTTGGACGTGAAGATTTTTTGTAAATGTTTTTTTTTTCAGCAAAGCACCTACCTACCTAGTAACCCCAACCTCCCCTCTCTCAGCGCCCCCCCCCCCCAACCAGTTTGAATTGGGAGCCGAAGGTGGACAGCGAATAGCGTGCATATTATTCTGAATAGACACGGTAACCTAAGTGTATTCTTTAAACCAGCTTTTAGTGGGATTCTGCTTCGCGTTTAACGACTGAACGCTGCAGCTGAAAATTCTGGCTGTTCGGCTACTTCTGGACTTAAGCCGTCTTCCAGAACTTGAGGTTTCACCTGTGTATCCGCTTCACGGGCATGGTTTATTTGTAAGCAGACTGTTGGTCTCTTACCTCTGAGGCAGGTGCACTCCGACTTCGGAGGAAAGAATACGATTCGAACATGCGATCATCTTGTGGTCAAGCAAGTTTTCTAGCCTTACAAGCTTCAAGGTTACCTTTGAACAAATGAAATATCAGATAGAATGTGAAGTTTGGGCTGAATGCGATGATAATCGTTGACACACTGTTGGCAATTGCTGCAGTCACTATCACAACTCGAACACCACACTTTGGCACGATGATGTTCGTGGAAATAACGGCTGAAAAGAAACAATAATTGTGGCGGGTAACTTCGCTTTACACTAGCGAATGCACTATGTGCACTTTACAGAGGGAACTACAAACAGTGAAACATCATACGGTCTTATAGTAACCCCAGCCTTGCTGGTTAAATGAGAGGATTCTGGGTTTGCCCACATCTATTCCCTACTGTTATTAAATTGTATATTTAAATGTATTTAAATTACACTAGCTTTTGTTCACTGACACACTTACAGTTAAAATGAAACTTCAGAAAAACTGTAAGAACATTAAAACTACATTTATTTTGAAAATTCAAATGATAACTAAATAAAATGGCTGTGGATATAAAAATCCTGTTATTCAAGGTAGGTTAGTTAAATCTTAGCTGTAGCTTAGGTTTTCTTCTGTATGTCAGCTTCTGACTAAGCTTTCNAAAAGCACGAAACTCAAAGATAAATTTAAGGGTGAGGAGAAAGGAGGGCCCAAAAAAAGTAACCAAAAACGCCCTTTAAAAACAAACCAGGCGATTTGGCCGGGAAAAATACCTAACAAGGACCGAAAATACTAAAAAACATTTAAAAAAACTTACCATTTACAAGTCTTTTCTTCCCTTTTCTTTTTCTTTTTCCTTTTTTCTTCTTCCCTTTTTCTTTTTTTCCTTTTTCTTTTCTTCTTCTTTTTTCTTCTTTTTTCCTTTTTCTTTGTCTTCTTCTTGTTTTTTCTTTCTTTGTTTTTTCTTTTCCTTTGTTTTTTCTTCTTCTTTTTTTGTTTCTTCTTCTCTTTTTTCTTCTTCTTCTTTTTCTTCTTCTTTTTCTTCTTTTCTTCTTCTTTTCTTCTTCTTTGTCTTCTTCTTCTTCTTCTTCTTTTCCCCTTCTTCTTTGTCTTCTTCTTTTTCTTTTTCTTCTTCCCTTTTCTTCTTCTTCTTCTTCCCCCTTTTTTCTTCCCTTTTTTTTCTTCTCCTTTTTCTTTTCTTCTTTTTCTTCTTTTTTCCCTTTTTCCTTTTTCTTCTTCCTTTTTCTTCTTCCCTTTTTCTTTCTTATTCCTTTTCTTCTTCTTTTTGTCTTCTTCTTCTTCTTCTTCTTTTCTTCTTTTTCTTCTTCTTCTTTTTTTTTTCTCTTCTTCTTCTTCTTCTTTTTCTTCTTTTTTCTTCTTCTTCTCCTTCTTTTCTTCTTCTTTTCTTCTTTTTCTTTCTTTTCTTCTTCTTTCCCCCCCGCCCCAGCCCTTTAGGTTCATTGGGTGCAGATATCAATAGCCTTCACTCAACTATCTTTTTGGCATAGAAATTTAAAAACAACACACACACACGCACAGCACACCCACACCCCCCCCCACCCCCACCCACCCCCCCCCCTCCCTCCCCCCCAACCCCCCCCACCCCCCCCCCCACCCCCCCCCCCACCCCCCACCCCACCACCCCCCCACCCCCCCACCCACCCCACCCCAACACACCCAACACACACAAACCCCCAACACACACAAAAACACACAAACACACCCCACAACACCACCCACCACACCAACCCCCACCAAAAACACACACACACAAAACACCCCCCAAAAACACAAAACCAAACACACACACACACACCCCAAAAACACACACACACACACCACAAACCCCACACACACCCCACCACCCACACCCACCACACACACACACACACACACCACCAACACACCCCCACAAAACCACACCACAAAACCCCAACACACACACAAACACACCACACAAACACCACACACCACACACACAACACAACAAACACACACAAACACACAACACCCCAAAAACAAATAACCACAGATAAACAATGAGAAAAAAAATGTGATTTTTTCAAACTGAAATTTTAGAAAATGTGAAAAGTCCCAAAAGAAAACTAAACGAGAAAACTTACCCCACAAAAAAATAACAGCAGAATGGGGTTTTGTTTATCCCCAATCCTTTCGGTACAGCTTAAGGGTTGGAATGTAAGTGGGAATGTACTGTAGCAGGGCACCATAGCAAACTGTTGATGCCATGCAACAGTCTCATCAACAAGTCCACTGAGCATTTTTTCAAGTCGAAGAGATTTCCGAGAATCACACACGGATGATATCTTTGTTGATTTTCAGGAGGATGTTGGATTTCATTTTGCTTTGAAGTTTATTTGATTTTTTGCGTCCTAGTGGGGGTGTTCGTTGCAAATTTGTCGTCTTTGAAGTTGCCTTAATACAAGACAATTGCTACCATGGGTATAAAATGTCTGATGGCAAAGACAGCTTTCTCGCCATGTGAATTAACATTGATACTATACGGTAGAGTTTGTTGCAGTTTGTTTAGATACAGTCAAATCTTTAAACGAAACACTACATCTCTATCTGTTCTCTACAAGTGGTTCATCTGGAGAATTCACTGAATCTGGCTTG